TACGTGCATGGCCCATGGTCTTCCCAATCCCTGCTCTCTTCAACCAGGTGTAATACAAAATTTACTGGTGAATATGCCAGCCCAGTAACCCTTTGGTGGACTAGAATCCCATCCAGGTGTGAGAAGAAATATTCCTAGCCCCTTTCATGGTACATAAATGTATAAGGGATAAGCACTGGTGGTATGGATCATGTTAGCCTGACACAGACTTACATGTACCTTACTGCTGTAGTTACCAGACAAATATATTAAGAACTCAAAGACTTGCTGTCTGTTAATGACCCACGTATATGTATGTCTTCAGGGGGTGCAAGGAGAATGGGGAGAGGGGGGTAGGGGTTATGTAGGGAATGTTACAGATTTCTCTTTTTGCCATCTGACAGAACTAAAGCAGGTACACACATGTACATGTCCTTCAAATATTATTGAAAGCAACTTGTAACCAAACTTACGTGGCTGTTGCTGTAACTGTGTTACCAGTATCCACTCTTTCAATACTTTGGATGAACACTAAGCTGTCACCAGGATCAAATCTGAACTCCAGCTTACCACCCACAACACGCAGCTGGATAAAATCTCCCCGGTCTTTGTTGTCAGCCGCAAAGAGAAGCAGTCCATCACTTGTGTTTGTCTGGAAGGTTATGTCAATCCTGTTTTCCTCCAAGTTAAATGAAATACCTTTGTGTTCCAGAAAGGACTTCCTTCCAAAGGCTGGAAAGTGGAGATCAAACCCTGTAGAAAAATAAAAATTACATTTGAATTTACTACTTTCTGTCATTAAGGTTTAAAATTTTTCAAACATTCTCAAACCAGTACGTTAAATATCACTTTTTCCTTTTGTCTAAAATTCAGTTTTACAATATATGAATATGTCTGTATGATTTGAAAAAATAAAAATAATAATAATAATAATAAAAATCAAACTGGTTTGAAAAATTTAATACAAAAAATTCAAACTACACTGTACATATGTTGAAAAAAGGGGGATCTCTGGTTTGACTCCAAGCAGGAGAACTTTTCTGTGAGTATGCCAGTTGTGATACTGACAGAAAAATTCATCTTCTTACATGTATATGTATTTGTCAGGCTAAAAATCCACCATTTCATTTATTATCATTATTGGTTACACTACATATAATTAACTTACTGCAAGTTTGCTAGTAAACAAAAAGTTCTGGTTTAAAAAGGAAGCTAACCATACAGGTAGGTAAGAAACATAATCCCAGCACAGTTGTCAATCAAGAAATTCATGTACATGTAAAACATAACTTAATAACATTAGGAACCTTATTGACAACATTCCATTAATAAATATATCTTAGTAGATGTTTAGGTGTGTAGTATCGCTGCATATTTTTACGAGTTGTGGCTTATTATGACAAGCCTGTAGGGCAAGTCAAAATACAAACAACGAGTAAAAATATAAAGTGATACTACACACCAAAACATCTAATAAGAGATTTATTATTCGACTGCTGTAGTCAATGAATTTATCAGTGAAAGAGGGCGAGTGTGACAGTTTTGCGTGCATGTGCCGACCTGTCCGGCAAACATGTTTTCTACTGTACAAATAACTGTACAATATTGCTGTATATTTGTACTGTTATTTGGATGGTATTTGCTGCAGTTGAATAATAAAATAATTTATTAATAATTAATAACATAGTCTGCTGAAATTATTCCATCAAAACATTCAATGCAATCTACATATACATGATTGGATGTCTTGTTTTTTATTTGGTGATATTATGCATTTCACATCATTCTGAAATGTGTTTACAGTAAGTAGTTTAATTAATTAAAGGACACTCGGTTGTACATGTTCAGATGTACAGCATGCTCAGTTAATCATGACTGAAAAGTTACTACACATGTGTACTCTATAAGAATGCATTTAATGCCTGAAAGGACTGTGAATTACCCTTCATCCTACTGTACACCAAAAATAACTCATCTTGCACAATTATTACCACGGGTGCATTTCAAGAACACTGATCCAAGTCAATATTGGATCATCGTGCATCAAAGGAATGGATACATTCACTCTCTGGACAAGGATTTACTTGGTGTTTTCTATTACGTCAGCCTGGCCTGCAGAGGTTACACTGTACATGTAGCAGGAGTCAAATCAAGGAAAATGGAACAATATTTCCAGTCAAACCTTGCCAACCGCAAGGGATAGCTCTTATCATTTTCTTTTCCATTCCCCAGGCTTCAAAAAAAATAAAATCTGCTGAAGAGGAAAGTAGGGCAACAAACCAGTTTGTCAATATGGGATGGCAAATTTCAGTTGGATTGGTCCGACCATTTAAAGTGACTCGCCCCCAGAGGTAGTGCCTGCTATTCCAGTCAAACCAAACCAAAACGAACCTTTCCATTTGACTTCTAGGTACTGAAATTTCCAGATTTTTTTGGCATAATGGAAAGAACCCACTGGTTCTTTTGATGCACTATGATCAGAATGATCTTGAACCATTCACATCCTGATCATCCCACAGGAATGCACCCTTAAATTAAAAATCAAAGGCTAAGGACATAACTTTACCACTCACCACTTGTACACACTGGTCCAATTGTTGGATAAGGGCACTCACAACGGAACTTGTTTCCTAAGTATGACTCGTCAACACATGTTCCATTGTTACAAGGATTGTCAATACAAGTCTGATTTATTAAGGGTACTGTAGTTGGTGTAGGTGACGTAGTGGGCACTACTGATGAGGAGATAAGAACAGTACTCATTGACGGAGATATCTTGACAGTTGACGTGTAATAGACAGTTGATAATGATAATGATAATGGAGTTGTTCTAATGGATGACCTTGATGCTACAGATGGTGAGGCAACAGAAGAAGAGAACATTAGGGATGTGCTCGCAGGATCTGTAACAGTTGATGTTAATTCTGGTGATGATTTAAGTGATAAAGACAAAGACGATGACAGTGGCCGGCTTGATCCAGGTGATGATGTTAATTGCAAAGATGAAGTCTCAGCTGGTCGTGATGAGAAACTCTCCATGGACTCGGTTGTCATAGTTACCACAGTTTGGCTTCCACTTGGTGTTATGACTGGAGTAACAGCTTGTGAAACACTGCTGTTAACTGCTGTTGGAGTAAGTAACACAGATGAAAATGTCACTTGTGATGAGGTCTGTATAGCAGGAAGCGAGGAAGAGACAAATGTCTCATGAACTGACAAAAATGAAGACGACAACCTTACTGTTGAGGATGACCGTACATGTAGTGTTGATGATGAAAGTGAAGTTACTGACTTGCTAGTCATCATAGACACAGATGACAGCTGCCGCGAGGACATTGCAGGTGACATTTCTTGTGAGGAGCTAGTTCCTGTGATTATTTGTGACATTTTAGGAATGGAAGATGTCACTGCTATTGTAATGATAGAAGAGCTTGATGATCCTTGAGTGACAAAGCTAAAATTTGCCACCAAAGAGGTGGAAAATACCTTACTTGTTTGAAAAGGTGGTGTTGAAGTAACCACAACAGACGATGAAGTGATGTTTACTGTACAGTTTCGGCCAGTAAAATTTGGAGGACAAATACAAGTATAATTCCTACGTTTATCTCCAGATCTTAGACACGTTCCTCCATTAGCACACGGGTTATCTGCACAAAGATCTTTGATAACAACTTCACAATTTACCCCTTCAGTGTCTGGTGGGCACAAACATGTGTATTGATTGATGTTATCCACACAAAATCCTCCATTTATGCATGGACTAGACTGGCATTCATCAATGTTCTTTTCACAAAAGGTTCCCTCATATCCAGGCACACAACTACAGTTAAAGCTATTGGCGACACCATCCACGATATCTTGGCATGTTGCACCATTTTTACAAGGGTTCCTACTGGCATGACAACTGTCTAGCTCTTCACAGTACTGTCCTTTGTACGCATCACAACATAAGCAAGAGTAATTCCGTGTAAAAAAGGTGTTTGCCTGACTGGTGCAAAGACCAACCCCGCTGCATACACCTAAGTTAGGTATTGCTGAGTTTATACAGCCTGGCTGTTGACGGCTACGTACATACACTTCAAGCCTTATACCAAAACTACAACTTCTAAAAATGTCCTCTTCTGTTATAAAATACTTGATTCCAGGTGGGTTTAAATACTTTGAAGGCACTTGGAATAAGGAATCAGTTCTATTTTCAACCAGCTGTCCATTCACTGAGTCACAGCTAAAGAAAGCATCTCTTGAAACATTCAGAACTTCAAGTATGATTGTACCCGGTTCAAATATCACAGTATCCCCTTGTACAACTGTTCGAGGAACTTGTCTAGGAGCTCTTTGAAACCCCATGGGGTCAATTTCTCCATTATAACATTCTCCAGGTGACTGGCCGTTACAGATATGACCATTGTGTCCCCATTCAATTACCGTCGTCTTAACGGTGTTGTTAAAGCAGTGGAAACCAGATGGACACTGCAAGTTACACAGTAAGTTTGAAAACGGAGAGGTGCCATTCTGAGCCGACACAACAATCAAACTCGATGCAAAAACCCAGACAACGCAAATTCTGGCAAGCCGTTCAAGGTTAAACTGCAGTAACGCCAAATGCATTGTTTTTCAAACGATTTCGAAGCTCTAAAGTCTTTCACAAATTCACGCAAACTTGCCGTTTCACAGTCCAGTGGCGATGCATAAGCAGCTAAGTTGATTTCCTTATCGTTTGTGGTATTTGCCCTTCTAAGCTTACCGATCAACGGCCGAGCTGGAGGGCTTGGAATGTCAATTTAGGGCGCAGTTTACTCTTTACTTAGGTGAATTTCCATTCTTCCACCAAATAAAAATCGCTCAATGCGATAAACTTTCTCAGAATACAACGACTTCAAACTCGATGAGGAAACAGCTGTCAAAATATCGTGTTCAAGCGTCGTTTGGTACTCACGTTCGGCAAAAACAACACGGTTCTCCAAAGTTCGAAGGATTCCGTAGAACTCCAGCGCTTGTAAACTGTTTTAGCACCGTCTCGCCGTAAAGTTGCTGGCAAATTCCAAAGCTATATATAACCACAAACAGAGCCAACGGTTTAAATCCACGCAGCTGATACAAGTCCAAGAGCGTTGCCAGTAATTCGAAAGCAGATCTTTGACAGATCAAATATGGCGTCCACACGCTTTCACTAATCCACAATTCGCAGCAGTTATCGAAGTGCTTTCGAGCATTTACCGACCCCTCGAGAAGTCCTGAATATTTGATGGTCTCTCCTTCTGCGGTTACTGGACGAAGCTTTTTAAAACTCAAATATTTCACACAAGGGAATGCTTGGCGACCGTTTACATCGCCGCCATTTCAATAACAAAGGTTGTTAGGTTCTGGTGTCCTATTGTGCCGAGGTCTATGGCGTCTCCTGATTGGTTCGTTTTCGTCATAACGATGCACACACGTTCGTTGGAGCTAAACTTGGATCTCACATCACCGTTTTTGTAAAACAAAAGTTACTGTTTAATCCCTCGGAAATCGATATTGTTTGCAAACGTTTATCATTGCTTTGAAGCCGTGGTGAGTTTGAACAACTTTACGAAACCCCTCACAAACCACGCATCATTTCACTGTCGAAATTTTCGCGAAATCTCGTTTCCAGGTTTTTAGCGGTTTCTCGGGCTAAGATATCTTGAGCGTTTCAAGGTCACGGTAAATAAGGGACGATAGTTACGGCTGCATGTCGATGCAGAATTGTCGAAAAAGACTGCGTGTTTTATGTAAATTATTTCAGGATCGGACAGACGAACCAGACGAAATTATGCCACTCCAATTCATGCGTAACCCAGATGTATGTCCGGGTTTTTCGAAAGGTGGAAAACGCTATCCGGATAAATCATTCCGGTGGATAGCGTAGTTTACTTTGTTAACAGTTATCCACTGGATTCGAACTGGATAGTGTCTCTGACTTAGGGCGAACTGAAATGGAGAGCCAGTTGTATAGGGGTCCATTACTGATCCAATTTTAGCTGTTATTTAAGGACCAAAATTAGCCTGCGAACAGGCTTCCGGCGAGGGTGGGAAAAAAACAGTCGACGAGCGCGAAACAGAAGACTGCAAAACTGGAGAGCGAGTGTAATATGGCCTGAATTTCAGCCGCCTCCTTCGCTCGCGGGAGAGACGCTAAGTCCGAGTCACTCGGGGAGAGAGCGCCTCTCTCCTCGAGTGACTCAGCGAGCGGAGGAGGCGGCTGAAATTCAGGCCACCTGTGCTGTTGTATTACTGATCTAATTTTTAGTCCTTGCTCAACAGCGGAAATTGCATAGTCTGTCATATTCCAGTAACGGTGAAAATTTCGAACTGTTAAATTAAGGAATATACAGTACTTTCTTCAACTAAAGTAAGTGACCAATACTGAGGTGTATATGTTAAGACTGTTTTGCGAAAACGCACTGCACAAAACTGGTTATGATCGCAGGTTATGACTAAGTAGTCACGTTGGTCAACAGAATGATTTCTTGTCCTGCGCTCTGGCTGTAAAATACAGCTGCAGACTCAGTCACAATATTCTCTCCACAGACGTTTATTTTGTTGCCAACAGTTAACGGTTCATCGAGGGAGCGAGCGGTGCGAGGGTGGAACACGAGAACGCGAGAGCGGCCACGAATTTGGATGGTTCATATCCCACACGTCGTGTTACACAGTCGAACCCCGTTTAAAAGTTGTCGTGGATAAATTTAAAAAAAAAAAA